TTTTTTCAGATCTAAGCTGTGGGCTAGAGTTTGTATAGGTAACTAGGTAACTTATGTGGCCCAGATATAGGGTTTAGGATGCCTGAGTGCTTATGTCATAAGCCTTATGCATTAGCTCCTGCTGGCCCCGTTTGAATTAGTCACTAGGTAGTAACCAGTGGGGCTTAATCAGTGTCATAAGTTTCTGAGATGGGAGAGCAGCAAGTGGAGGTAAAGTTTAAGGTATTCCTCATTCAGTAAATCAGTATTGAGTCACCATGGACAGGCACTACGTACTCCAATAAGTAGTTTACATTTACTTGTACTGAGACTTTCTGGGATGATAGTAAGAAGATATTAGATAATATGCTATACTTAAGTATTTATTACTAGTCTTCTCCTCTAGGAAAAGGGATGCTTTGACAGTTAAGACCAGAGGCCCATTAAATGGGAAAGTCATAGATGGATTCCTCCAAGACAGCCAACAACAAACAACAAGGCCCTTTGCCTTGTCTCTAGTATGGAGACATCCTGTTTGACTTTTGGTGGAATTCCTTTTTGGCTGCTAGAAGCAGCATCATACAGACAGCAATAGCTGCTTGTGTTCTCTCTCTCTCTCTTTTTTTAACTTTGATCTTCAGGTACTTAAAATTGGTTTAAAAATAAGGCATGTGACTGAAAGTGATACCCCCAAGTATTTTCGTATGTTTCATAAATATTAGATGAAGGCTCCTGAACTAACCTCTGCTCTTCCTGTAACACAAACAGTTGTGCTTATTTCAACACATAGACACTCTTAATTCTCTATAAATTGAAGGGTCAGGTCAGGGGGAAGGTAGGATATAGTGAGTGTAATGTTTTTCACTTGTCACATACATTTGTTCTTTATCTGCTGGAGATAGAACATTATGGTTTGTAGACTGGAGTATTCAGGGTAGGCCACAGACAGAATTGGCTGCTTATCAATCTTAATGATGCAGAATGTTTTTAGATATGTAAGTCATCCTTCCTTTAAGCTCTCACCTTATTTCAAAGCAAGTAAAATATATTTCAATGATAAAGTCATGTAAACAATTTACAACTGTAATAGCTGTTAAGAGATGTCACCAATTTTTCACGGTTTTCCATTGGTGGATTAGTTCATTTGTATCCATTTTATAGTCAAACTGGCATTAGAAGGAAACTAATTCTTAAACGCTTGCTACTGCTTGGTCTCCACTGATCCTTAAATCAAGACCTAGAGCATCTGCTGATGAAGATGGCTGAAAAGAAGAGATGGACCTGGTTTGCTCACAGCCACCCACATCTGTGATGCATAAGGACATGGAGTGTGGATGCTTTACGTTTCTGACTGACTTCTGGTTTCTCCACTGTGAAGAAAGTTCTTCTTTTCACAGTCCTGCTGCCTAACCAAATAACGCTCTTTAGAATTCAGAGATCAAGATCAAGAATGCAACTTCTAGATCTTCCTAGAACTCCAAACCTATGGCTAAGTTGCAACTCAGACCATTTTTGAACAGCTTCCTCTCTGGAATTGGCCTCTGAATTTTCCAGCCCAAGTGGTGATCATGTCTTAACACAGCTCAAGATCCTAGAGTTGGATCCTTCCCTTGTCCCGCATCTAGACGTCCACCGCCAGAGGACCCTCGGCAGCATGTGCGCTTCTGCGCACAAAGCTGTCTGTGCTCACACCCAGTCACCTTGGAATCTCACAGGCTTCCTAAGATAGGGATAATTTTTGCTGACACTTTCTGGTACAATTTGGTTTCATTGTTTTTTGAGATCTTGGCTGAAATAAATGAAGAGCTATTTATGAAAACTTTTATGTAAAATTATTTTTAACAACTCCAGCACTTCAGTCTTGAGACCACCGAGTGAACCTGTTTTTGTTGCATGGCTTAGAAGTTTGGATGTATGTATCTTGAAGGCTTCCTAACCTATATCCTCATCTTGGAATCCTTCTGTACTATGTCTAACTGGGACAAAAAAAAAAAAAAAAGGAGGGTTTTTTTTTTTTCCTTAAAGAGGTAGTAACTTATCTAGTAATTTGGTCCTTGGAGGGGGCAGCCCGTCCTGCTGCCAGGTTGGACTTGCCCTGGAGCCAACCAGACACGTCTCCTTCGCCCAGACTGAAATGATTGTTCCATGCAAGTCCAGTAAGGGCTGTAGCAAAATGCTACTCCTAGAGTTTTAGTTTTTAAATGTCTCAGATGAGTACTGTATCCCAGCGCACTGAGAGTTTGTCTTTCTGAAAGAACAGAGATTCTGCCTCAGAAAGTAGAGGTTCTTGCATCGTCTAGTACTAATCCGAGCACTTTATTAACAGAGCATCCTTGGTTAGAATACATTATGTCATGTATGTTTCCCTGATAAGCTATACAAGGAAGATTTCTTATCATGATCTGGCTATTTCCAAGCTTAGCCAGATTCTTTTGCCCCAGATTTACAGATTATTTCTCATCTTGGGTCATGACCACATTTATTGAAATGCAGTCCCTACCTGTGCACATTAATGGTAGTGGTCATTTGTCTTCTAGCCGGCCTGGGAAGCCTCCCCATGCTCTATAACTTTCTGGCTAAAATGCTTTTTTTGGTCAGTGTGTGAGTCGGTTAAAGCCAGTCATCATTGGGCAGCAGTTGGCCAACTTGGTGGCCAAAAGCAGAAGCTGTCCTAATCATGATGATACTCCCAGGAGAGTCTAGAAAGTCAGAGGTCACATACTTCCCCCCTTCATACTATGTAGCTATAGTTTTTTTTTTTTAATTTTCTTGGCCCCTTTCTGTTTATGACAAAATGAAATAGGGGCACCAGCTTTACTAGACGGAAGATTCATCACCCTCAGAGTCATGTTAATTCGTTTTTATGCTTTCCCAAGCAGCAAGACTCTTTTCAAAGTTCAGCTTCCCTTTTACCTGGAAAGTCTTTCATATTTTCTTCTCCCCTCAGAAATACACCAAAATTGCCTCAACACTGCAGACCCTGATCGTCTTTCCTGTTTTTGTCTTTTGCATAATTGGATTTTGCAAGCTTGGGGCTCACTTACAGAACCCCATCCATTGTATGAAATCACACCTTGCCTCTCAGCATACCTGGCCCTGGCAGGTGCCACATTACGCTGTAGCCTGAGGGCTTCCACGTTAGATTGTGAGGGAACTTTAAACCACTGATTCCAAGCGGAATATGAAACATCCAAACCATAAGAATATTTTAATCATACAACCTCCTCTAGTGACAAAGCTATTAGACAAAATGATAGGGTTAAAGTCACTCTTTTCCAACAATTGGTGAAGTTTTCTCTATTGGAAGATAATCTAGCTGTATAGTCTAGCCTTTAAGACAATGGGACCTTAAGTTGCCAAAAAAAGTTAAAGCTCCTTAGACAAAAAAAAATCTAAAGTTCCTTAAAGTTTTTAAAGGTAAGCTAATTGTCACCACCCCTTTCTATTTTCACATAATAGAGCCACATTTTATTTGCCTTAATTATTTGAGTTGGAGGGGGCCATTTAAGGTTATGCTTGCTCTGATTTGATAGGAATACATTAAAAAATCTTTTTATTATAAAAATTTTTAAGCATCCACAAAAGCTGAGAGTGTAAATAGCACAAAGAACACTCATGTACCCATCACCCACTACCTCCTCATTAACTTAGGACCACTGTTAATGTATATCTTCTCACTCTCCCCACTGGATCGCTTTCAAACAAGTGCCAAACATCAGACAGGATTTTGAGAAGGAAAACACCTTAAATAGACTTCAACCAGTCA